TTGTATCCTATTGATTTATTTTTTTAGAAATATTCTTAATACTTAGAGTAAGAGAAAACAATGGGACATTATTTTCACTTATCACAGTCTAATGCACACCTGATGATAGGGCCTCGACATGATCTCGAGCAACTCAGAATTTCAGGTTTTTTCGACATCATTGTAGGTTTGTTTGGCGACTAATATTTGAACTGTAATGTTATCCTCTTATGTATTAAGATGGCACACCATAAATCAACAAATCCCTTTCATAAATATTTACACTCATTTCAGGGCACTGATTTGTATGCGTCAAAACATTTCCTGAGCATTTTCACCTTGTCATTTCTTCGATTGATCACGCACATGTTTCAGTCCTTCAGACAGCGCACGAAAAAATGTAAATAACACATAAATGTGCACTTGTTTATATTTCATGTTTGCAAGGAAAACAACAAGCAGAAAAAACAAAAATTTCAATAAGTTCGTGCTTGATCACGCCGGCAAGATGTTCTTTCAAGTGACATTATTAAGTGTGCGCCAAATATCTGACGTCTATTAGCGATTCAAAAATTAACATCAAAAGGTCCGCCTGAGGATTCTGGGCTTTATATATATTTTTTTAAATTGACAAATTCCAGGTTCAATCTAAAATGCTCAAGGTTTCTTTACAAGGCATCAACTATCTTTTTTTTCACGATTGTACACGAAAAAAAAAAAAAAACTGCACAAATGTGTCTGATATCTGTACAGGGGGAACATAAAGTTTTACACAGACAGCGAACTGGTGCTTCAACACACAAACAGTGCACCTTCTTACAAATGAAATGGAATGAAATTTATCATTATCATTCACAAGACACAGATATCTGAAGCACTTTTCTGAGCTCTTTCTATTGCACTGATTGGATGCAGAATATGGGCCGATCACGACAACCTCTTGATCAGCAGTATTAGCTTTTTCATTATTCCCACCTTTTATCATACAGTTTGTGGGGCTTTTTAGGATGAACGGACCCGCATAGAGAGTACTGACTTTATTGAGAGCAAAATATTGAGTGATGCAAATGCTGCCCACAATGCTTGTCTATGAGAAGTAACAGTTGGTAACTTAAACCAGCATGAATCCGACCTAAACTTGGCCGTCATTGCATAGGGAACACTGATTACATCTAGAACGAGTATCACGGTTGTTTTAAAAAACAATAGTTGTGTATGAGAAATAACAGTTCTTGGCGTGTGCAACAATCATTTTATAACTCGATGTATAACTCCCGTATGTTTAGACTATCTCTATGTGGTTTCAAATGAGAGACGATAAGATTTTTAAGCAGTAAATATCATATTTAATCACTGAACGAATTGAGAAAGTGATAGTTATTGCAATATAACAGATAGCATCAAATTCACATTTGCACAAAACTCAGTTGATAAGTTGACAAGGTTTTGTGTAATAGTAACATTCTTATCGATCTCTCTTTGCTGTCAAATCTCCAGGTCGAGCTGTGTTCAAATCTTTATGTTCTCTTGGTTATTTATATTTTTTTTTCGGAGAGGCTATTAACTCCCACAATGCCCTTTTCCTCGATGGAAGCTCTTTTTAATGAATAACAGAAGAGCGAAGAGCGAAAAGAGATGAAGGCAAGACAGGTTATATTACTTTTTCTCATTCACATGTTAAACACACGTTTTATTTCGCTCCTTGCCTGCTTGCTGATAGAACCTAGGAAGGGAATGGTAGTCTAATCTCATATGTAGACGCAACGTTTAACAAAACGTTTTCGCTTGAGTGGACTGACAAAAAAAGATCCAGGTCGTTAACCTTTCTTGCTGGTAGGTGTTGGTTTTTGGCAAAACATTTCGTACATATAGTGAGAAGTTTTCCATGTTGCAATGCCCGCATTAGTGAGTTGTTCGAATTTCATAAGGGAAGCATGTTCCCCAAGCAGGTGTCTCTACATACTTCAACTTAGCGTATCAGTTCTTGCAAAAGACTATAAACTGTTTTATAAATAATCTCTTGGCTCTTGACTTGGAACAAAATGTCAAGAAAAAATATGCTCGCTTGAATGTAATAAGGGTAAGGCAATTTTTAACGGATTC